GACCTGGCTACAACAGGACAATGCTGACTCAGAACTACTTAGATCTGTATGATACATCCCATTCTTTTTGCCTCTTGGCTTCCTGAACCTCATAAAGGTGATTTGTGTCCAGGTTTGGAGCCCCCAGTACAAGAAAGACAGGGAACTGCTGGAGAGGGTCCAGAGGAGAGCCATGAAGATGATCAGGGGACTGGAGCACCTCCCCTATGAAGACAGGCTGAGGGAGCTGGGCTTGTTCAGCCTGGAGAAAAGAAGGCTGCGGGGTGACCTCACTGCAGCCTTTCAGTGCCTAAAGGGAGCCTACAGAGGGGAGGGGAATCAACTCTTTGAAAGGGTAGATAACAGCAGGACAAGGAGAAATGGTTTTAAGTTGAGGGAGCGGAGATTGAGGTTGGATGCTGGGGGAAGTTCTTCAAAGAGAGAGTGGTGAGGTGCTGGAACAGCTGCCCAGAGAGGCTGTGGATGCCCCATCCCTGGAGGTGTTCAAGGCCAGGCTGGATGGGGCCCTGGGCAGCCTGGGCTGGTATTAAATGGGGAGGTTGGTGGCCCTGCATGTGGCAGGGGGTTGGAGATTCATGATCCTTGAGGTCCCTTCCAACCCTGGCCATTCTGTGATTCTGTGATCGCCAGCTGATTCTCAGCTGACAACAGGCCCTATGCTGCCAGCAGCAATAACAGCACTGCTTCTTAAATTTGCTACACTCAGTTTTAAATTTGGAATTGACTGCGGGGACTGCAGCATGTGTGTTGGTCTAGACTCCCACCTTCATCTCCTGGTCCAACACACGCACAGATCCTTGGATCTCAGTAAGGGTTACTTTATTTTTGAGTCTGTGTGTTTAAGAGCAGAGTCTGAACCATAGAAACTTGTAATCATTACGGATAATGTTGGCTGATCAGAGATCAGGATCTCATGGGAAATGCTGCTGATTTCCCTGAGTATAGTTATTAGGTCCAATTTGCAGTATTGCCAAGCCACAGGAGACAAGTCTGTGCTAAATCTCCAAGAAAGCTGCAGCTACTCCTACTGTTGGTACGCTAAGCAAACAAATTGCTCATGGCTCACATAGCCTTTCTGTGTGTGCTAGGTATGTCTCTAAGCCACACCTTATTAAGAGTGACATCCCTCATTAAAGAAACAAATTTACTGCTGCCCACACAAAGCTGGCATTATCTCCTGACAGCGTCATAAATTACTGACATCAGAACATGCCAAGTCATGCAGCTGAGCTTGTGAAAATGAAAGATATCAGTGACAAAAGAGCTGTCCTATGATGTTCATGAAAGTCAACAGCAATTCTATTGGCCTGGTTTCTCATCGTTTGTCCTTCGGAGAATTTCAAGAGATCGAAGATTTTGTTCATCCCCAAAAAAAGGAAAAGGAGAGAAAAGCCCTGTCTGAGAGGAACACGAAAGCAAGCCACAGATTTAGACACTCCTAAGCAGATAGACAGAAGAACTAGATTTAAGGCACCAAGCTTCCTTTTATGTGCAAAGTAGAAGCTTGGCAGCCCTGGATTTAGTTCGGCTTCTTTGTTCGCTGCCCCAGAGACCAACAGCTCGGGAATTACAGCTCCCAGGCTCCAGCATCTCTGCCATCTCATGCACAGCAAACAGTCAAGAGGAGTGGAAGCCTAAGGCTGGAGTTGCCATCTGGTCTTCCATACTGATGGAGGTCTCAGTAGTTGGTCTGTCTGACTTGTCAGACACCCACCTGGCTTTGGTCTGCTCCTACCAAGGACAGGTGATTTTGAGGATGCAGCAATTCCTGGAGGAGGACCAGTAGTCTCCACTAGCCATCTGTGATTTTCTCTGCTATCTTCTGTTCTACTTTTCAACTCTTTTCAAAGGCATTTTCTACTCCAGCCTTTTCCACCACTTCCTCTTGCTCTCTGATTTTAACTCCCTCTCATTCCTTCAAATCTGTTCATTCCTTGTTTTGCTTTATTTCTCCCTCACTTCAACCTGCAGAACTCAGTACCTTAGCACTCCTAACTCCTCGCCCTCCTGCACGTTTCAGACACTTGCTGTTCCCTACCTGCTTGTAAGGGGAAAAACTTTCCTCTCTCTCCTGCTACCTGGGCCAACTGGAGAAATGATATTTAGATAAACAGAATTTTAAAGGGTCTGTGGTTGAGTGATCCCATGCAGCTGGAATGACCTCTCTCTACTCTATCACCAAAGCTGGTGTCTTTGCAAAGGCTGAGTAAACTGAATAAAGGTTACTTGCAGACCCAGGAGTTCCTCCTGAGAGAGCTATATGTGTATGCTGTGACAGGGTACTTTTTCACCAACGTGAAGTAAAAGGGAAGCTGCAGGAGTTCAGGGAAGTGAGCAGAATTATTTCTGCAGACTAAACGGGCACGAAGCCTGAAGACTACTGCATCAGCAAACACAGGCTGATAGAATAACAAATACACAGCAATATTTTATCCAAATTATTCTCTTACGCTTTGCTTTGAATGCTGCAAAATGTAGAACATTTAATTTCCTTGAAATTAATTAATATTACTCAACAGTTCGGAAAGAGGACTTTTAACTACAATTTAAAAACACAAGTAAGATGAATAACAATGGTCCTATCAAGTAGTTCCAGCTTCATGAGCATGCAAATTCCAACTCAGTTTATCTCTTATTTATTTCTAAATGGCCCCACTGGAAGAATAACAGCCATGTGCCTGCAAATTATGAGATGCTGAAGCCTTTGCTATGGACATTCTGCCAATTCCAACTATGCTCACAGCAGTGGCGTGCCGACGTTCAATTTTCCTTTCAGGCAATGAATAAACTTTATAGTGGTTGATATGTACACATACATTCACCTTATACGTATATACATCCATGCACAGACACACTACACACAAAAAGAATGCACTGGTTGAAAAGTCCTCTTAAAAAATATATATATCACCAATTGTGAAAATTCAGGAAGTAAAAGATTTAATACCCTGAACTCAGACAAACTGCATTCTATGCTTGGCTTTTTCCTCTTCATCTCACTGTCAATTGTTTGGTACTCAGTAAACGATGTGTTATTCCTATGATGCTGCAATATTAAATTGTTGCAATATTCTGCAGTTTTGTTTGGGAAGATGAATAAATTCCCAAACACTGTGAATCCCAAAGGAAAATAAACCAAAATAAAACAGAAAACAACCAAGCAAAACAAAATAAAACAAAACAATCAGAAATAGTAAAAAAAAAAAACACCCATAATAATCATTGTTGCTTGGATCAGAAATTGAATGCTCCAGCTGTGGATGGAGCTGTGCTATCGTCTCCTGATCTTCACATCCTCAGACAGTTTTACACTAATCCAAAGCAATTTTACTGAGGAAATGGAGCAACGCTGAAGGCTGAGGACAAACTGATCTGCAGCACTGCTATTTAGCATTAAATACTATTGAGACATTTCTGCTCTATAAAGATGACAAATTTCCATCACTGCCGCCTACTGCTTTCATTGCTCCTACCTTTCCTTTTTGTGAGGATGTATGAGAGCTAAGACAAGGAAACACTAAAAATACTTTATATGCATCATAGAAATGTCCCAGCCAAATACTCTTGATGGTTCAGCTGTAAATTGAGGTAGGAGTTCTATGCAATCTATTGTGTATGTGTGTGTTTTTGCTCTGATTCAGAAAATCAACAAGGAAAGATAATCTTGGGATTTTTTTTCTCATATGGATTGACTTTTTTCATTTCCCACCATGTAAACTCAATCCTAAAAAGAGATGACAGTATCCTAATAAACCACTTTGCATTTGTGAGAAACACAGAATAATTGAGATGCTCTGCGTATCTATCTATCTCCATCAACAGTTAAGGTAAGAAAAGTCAGTAGTGAAGCTGCAATGACCGTGTGACACGGTTTTGACAGTGCCTTTTCATTTTCTACAGCTTTCCTCTCAACTTTTCCCCAGTATTTATTTGAACACTGAATGTATGCATTTCCTTAAGGTGTTGAAGAAGGGAGTCTTAACTTTACAGTTCTGTCCATAAAAATCTCTTGTTGGTTCCAAGCATCCTCTCCTGCAGGTGCTTGAAATTTGGACCCAGCTTCCAGAGCTCATGATGTGGTTCTGGGTCAGACTGAACATCACTGGGATCTGATTCCTTCTTGTCAAGTCAGACAGTTAAATCTGATTGAGACTTCATGAATATGTGTAATACAATATGGATGAAGATCTTCTCCTCCAAGGGTGTCAGAGTTTGCTAGTAACTCAATTTCTTCTTACTGTGGTGGCAATGCTTACTAACATAAACTGCAACTCTCTGGCACTGAACAACTGGAGTCTTAGCTCCAGCTCAATTTGAAATTCTGATAGAGTAGCATAAATCTAATTCAGGCTGACCATTGTCTCCCATTTTTTTTCCAAATGCACTGCTGAATACATCCTGATACACCTCATTAATTGCCTAGCATCTACCTTACACCCTTTTGTTGGCAGTTATTTTTCTACCTGATTGGACCTCAAGTTATCACTAGCTGGACATTAATTGCAATTTTGGCACGTGCTGGTGTTCAATGAATGTGAACTCATCAGAGAATACAGCTGGAACAAACCCAGTAATTTATCAGAGACATTAGAAGAATAGGTACCAAAAGCCATTGCTGCCGAGCTTTGCAGCAGCAGTCAAAACTGCTTTGCTTTGGAAGACATCACTACTAAAGACTATCCTAATGTGCTCTGGGCATATGGCAATGAATATCTGTCAGGAAATCTGAATAAAGGACAGTGGGTTGTCCTAACTATTCAACTCAAATGGTCTGAGCTGAAAACAAAGCATGTGTGCGTACACAGAAAGGTGTCAGGTTAGAATGGAAAATGTCTATTGCTTCAGGGAAGGTTGGGTTGACCAGACTTGCTTTTCTCAGGGTGTGCATGCATATGAATTTGAGAGCCATACCTTGTTTTGTTTAAGAGCTCCTTTCTCCTTCATGTGAGGGCAGTCTTTCCCAGTCACGACAGCTTTTATATCTGCCACTGGCACTGCATTAAAGCAAAAATCCGAGAAGCAACAACAAAAACAAACAAAACCAGAAAATGAGTTAAAACCAAGATGTGTAGAAGCTACAGAGTCTAAAAAAAGCCAAGACTAATGTGTTAAAATTGTTACCCCTTGCCATTTCCAGCCTGTTGTAAGAAAGAAAACTGTAACAAAACAACTAGAAGAAGCAATAACAATTCTTGACAAGATTTCAGACTGTGGATAAAAAGCTGAGTCTTTCCTTGCCTGTTGAGGCTACCCTGGGAAAGAGCATTTCATATACATGTGCATCTGCATCTGGACAGGCTTTGTGTGTATTTGTATGTCTTAACAACATATACTGATTTCTCTCTTATTAATGTAATATGCCTGCCTGTCCTGTTACTCCTTCCAGGGCCTCTGGGTGAAGTCCATGCTAAACAGAGGATGCTGAGTGAATTGGACCCCTGATCTCTGTCGATGCTGCTGCCCTTCTGTTAATGCCTACATGCATTTTACAAATAAGTATTTCTTTACCTAACTGCCATCAGCATTTTAGTTGCTTCAAGTATTCACAGGAATGAGGACCTCCCGAGGCTTAAAATAACCCATTCCAATTGCTTTAAAAAGAAAAATGATCAGAAACCATTTAAAAAAAAAAAAAGGTAGGAAAAAGTTTTGGAAGCTGCTGTCACCCACACACATTCACAGAGTAAATCTAGTGAGGTCACTAAAACATACATTTCCCTGAGCTTCAAGTGGAATTCAATTTTCCAATCATGATTACATTATGGAGAATCTATACACTCCACAATACAGTATGGACAGTGAGCGACAGAAAGTTTCTACAATCTATAAATTATCCATTACCACTGCGACTCTGAAAAGCATCATATATATAGGACAGCATGATAGCATTAAAACCTGGAAGGCTTGAAGTGGTATCAGAAGCTGACTACAAAATGCTGAAGGGTGTGAGCACAGATGTGCCACGCTCACAACAAATAAAGCCCTGAAAAAGAGGACAGCTGCTTTCTGTCCCAGCTGGAATCTGCAGTTTGTTTAACCCTGCCAGCCTGAAGAGAGAGATGACACCCACAGAAGTGAAAAATTCTAAGTAAAAAACATTTATTTTTGGAAATAGACACAAGATATTCAAGCTTGGCAAGGAGTACACAAAACAGTTATTTGTCTCAGCCCTCCAGCTTCTCATCCACCTATTTTCTTTCATCTGTTGATCTGTTCACAAATCCTAACAACCAAAAATGATCAGGAAAAGTGAGAAGAATGAGAAGGTCTACAGGCATATCCTTCCTCAGAGATGCAAGCCATTGCATTCTGTACGTGAAGGACAATCTTAAACATCATATTCAGACCTTAACAATCCAAAATTCAATACAAGTGTATCCAAAGGACACCTGGGTATTTTTGGAAGGTGTTCTGCCAAATTCTCAATCCAGTTTGGCTCGACATGCTTGGAATGATAACGATGCTTTATAATCTTACATCTTGTAATATTCCCAACTCTCTTTTATCAAACTCTAGCAGGGAGGCACAATGATAAATCTTACATTCTTCACAGTCTGTAAATCTGCTGTCCCAACATGATAATGGCATTCCCATAGAGGCTCAAGAGCCTGCAGGAAACACAAATGTAAAGTGAAGCCTGTAGTCAGGGTTGGGGTTTTCACTGTGGAAATATGCTCAAAGCAAACAAATCTGAGAACTGCTGGTCCAATAACTGCGCCTGCAATTCAAGTGTGACCTTCACTCTTTTTCTGTCATTCTGACACTACTGTAACTTTCAAGAGCTATTTCTCCAAGCCTTGCCCAGTAAAATAGCATCTTGCAGTGCCAATGTAGCAATATGAGACCCTGTCCTACATTCTGCCAAGACTGCAGTGAGAGCCTGAGGCATTCTGAAGGTATTGAAAAGAAGTGAATGTGACTATGAAATGACAGGGCTTCAACATCAGACAGGTTCTTCTTTCTCTCACAGCCTGAGTTTGGGAGCACTTAAAATTTTTAAAAGGTACAGCCTGCAGATAGGTTGGGGATCAGAAAAGAGAAATAAGTCTTTGTTTTACCAATACAAAGAAAAGTTTAAATCACTGATTTTCTTCTTTCTCAATTTTCAGGCTGAAGAAACTTCTATCATGTACAAAAATTATTCTTTTTGTTCTTCCACAATAGAAATGGAACTACCAACCTGAATTTTTGTACAAGCTGGTCTGATTTGATGATGACAGGAATGGCATTTATTACTTATGGCAGTTCAGACATGAATAAAAAGCAATGATTGCTTATTCGATATGTTTTTTTTGTTGTTATCATTTTCTGGTGAAGGAACTATACCAGTCATTGTCTCAGACTTCAAAAATACCTTCCCAGAACTCCAGGTTAAACCTCTACAAGTTATGGGGAAGGACTAAGGATAAATTTTCGAGAGAGCGTGATTTTCTGAAGGGCTCCAAAATGACTTCAGTCCCTACAAAATATCCCAAGAAATCTACTGGTAGAGGCTGTCACAGAGGCACGTCCGCTCCCAACAAAGTAATGTGGAGTCTTTTTAGCATTGTTCAAAGCAAGGTGTTGTCTTTAAACCCACTGGCTATGATAATGAAAAAGACCTCGTTTTCCTCCAAAAAGACCTCTAATTTTTCAGCCAGTCACTAGATTGTTTGCAACAGAAGAAACAGCTGTCTCCATGGACAGGATGCGCTTCTGAATATGCCAAACTATTTTAATGTGACATCTGCAGTTAGACGAGGAATGAAAATAAACTGTGCTCCTCTCCATGAAATGCACGACATTTCCAAATTGAATGAAATTACAAGCTCATTGCAGAGCTGAGCTCAGTCCTCATATACGCTTGCCAAAACTAGGACAGCAGTATTTGAAGACATGAGGAAATGTTCTCTGCTCTCTGTCTCCATAAAAGAGCTGCTGATAATGTCCTGTATTAGGAAAAAAACACCACATGTTATAAGGAGGAACAAGCTCGAAAGAAGCAAAAGCAGCACAATCCTTGTGCATAACTTACATTTATCCTGCAAGGAATCATGGGGTACTTCTCCCTGGGGACTTTCTTCCAAGTCTCCGTAGTGCAAGACCTTGTGATTAGGTGAAAGTCGGCAATACCAAAATTTGTCTGTCAAAATAAATGCATTAAACAAGGTCAGTGACATGTTTTCACCTGCATCATCAGTGAGGCACTAAGGGAAGAACTGTCCTTTTGTTCTTAGAAGAAATGTTTGGGGGTGTAGAAAAGCAGGGCAGGGACTTTGCTCAGTAATTTCACTTGGCTGAACAAAATTGGCATTTACCATTTCTGTCTTGATTTAGCCACTGGTTCCTAAGATAAACATTAGCAAGAACCAACTCACTTGTTTTTACACGGTATTGCATACGCTCATGGACAAAAGACTAAGTAACACTGCATTGAGTGGCTAACTTTAATATACACACAAAAGCTTCATGTTTTGCACGTTTCGTGAAAGTTAAGCCAAATTTGGACACCCTAAGCTTGATATATTTGAAATATCCCATAACATGAAGATTTTGACTCGCAGCTTTTCACACACTGGAAGACTGGATTTATAGAGAGACTGGGAACAACAAGCATGGAAAGATTCAAAAAACAAACATTAACTCCCTTGTCTTGTAGATGACTTAGCGGTTGGTGTGCCCACAGAAGTACACATATCACACTCCTCTTTGCTAGGACATATATATTTTATGTCTCTGGCTTCTCAGGATATAACTTCTCTTAAAATTATTTATTAGATCTACATCCAGCTGGGATAAAAGGCTGGGGGAGCTGGGCAGTCACTAGAGCCAGCCTGCATGTACTCATGTGGGTGTTAGCAAAGAAAGGACTCCTTGGCTCCTTTAGGAGAGTGATGGCTAAATGGACCCAAAGTTTTTGAAAGGACCCCTAAAGTCTCTTGGCCAGTGATTTTAAATGCAGTGCAATGTGAGGCAGAGAAAGCCAATTCAGTTTTGAATGGCAAAAGAGGGCTTCCACGTGTTTCTTTAAATTTATTTGTCATGGTGGGTAAAAATGTTTGGGGAAAATAAACCACTCATTTCAAATAATTTCCTGATTTTGATTATTTGCTTCATAAGCATAAAGAAGACCAAAAAGTTCAGGGGTAGGAGAGCCCTCGATGAAGAGATATTGTGATACAAAGAAAGAGATGCTGAAATATAAGCATCCTAGGACTGTAAGCAGAACATATAATATTACACTACAGAGTCAAGAGGAAAATCCACTTACAAAGCTTATGGAATGAGAGAGCAGGAGCCCTCACTCAGCAGACTCTCCTGAAGAACACACACAAAGCCAATTCATTGCAGCAGTTTGTGCATCTCTGAAGGATGCACGTGAAAGTTTTATAGATTCAGACCTTTCACAAGGAACTCTACCAGAAACACTTCACAACCTGAAGCTTTAAAAAATACATCCTGTTGGACCTGATGGTAGAGCAACTTGCCCCTTGTCTACCCAAAGAAAAGACCCTGCTGTGTAGAGATGGTTCTTCTGCCCACCTTTCACTTCAGTCTCAAAAGAATTCAAAAGAATACACCTTACCAGACACCAAGATCACAACTACCATTTTTGTGCTAATAAAAACCAACACAGTCTCACTCCTTTGTCAGTAACTCAGCCAAGATGTTGCAGCTGAAAAATAAATATATATGCCAGGAACTCCTTTCAGCTTAGCACAAACAGGGCTGCTGTTTTTACTGAGGGTTTGAAAAGGTTCTTTCCTTAACCTCCTATGAGTGAGAGCATTCAAGTAACCTTGTTCCCACTGCAGTCCCTTGCTCCAATAAAAAAAGGGGAAAAACAGTGAAAATTTCTCTACTTCGTTTTTAGGAAGGGGTGGTTTTATCTGAAGAAACCCTACCTATCTAATATCTGGAGGCAGATGGAGCCTTTTCCAGCAAGTCCCCATAACCCAAGGTGAATTAAAGACCTAATAGCCGTAGACTGCAGCTGGAAGCATGTCCACTGCGATTCTCCTGTGGTTCCCTAATAACTGCCATTGTACCACAGATAGGTCATCAAGGGGAAAACCCTTAAATGAAATCTATACGTGGAACTAACAAGGCTCCCTCAGCTGCAGCCAGGCTGTGCTGGGTGATGGGCACATCGGCAGCAGAGATCTGCACCACGAAGCCTCTGCAGCCACTTAGCCTTGGCTATCTGGGCTTCTTTTTACCTCTAGTTTACCAGACAATATCCTGTGTAGATAGTGCACAAGGGGAACAGCTTTGAATGGGATGAATGTTGTTCTACCATAGTGCAGGTACTGAACACAGTTTCACTGGATGCAGTGCATATAAAGCAGCGCTGCAGTCAAAATAAATACTCTATGAAATTGCTCCCACTGACAAGGAGGGTGAAGTAGCCTTAATTACACAACACAATGTGGGAAGTGGTGAGCATTTACGTTCAGCTCTAAACAGATGAAATTGAAAAAAATAAGCAAAAGAAAAAAGACAACCCTGTTCTCTTTACTATCATCAGAAAGCAATGCTTATAAAACAACAGAAAACTACCTATCAAAACCCAGAGAACCCTTAAACACGAGTCTGTGGAGTTGAAGTGCCATGAGAGGCTTTGAAGACAGGGCAGACCCCTTCAGTGGGCAGATCTGTGCTTGGGTGTATCTGGAGCCCGGGCAGCTGCCAGCTCAGGAAAGAGTGAAGGGCATTTTGTTCAGAGCAGAATCAGATTTACATAGGTGCATTCTCATAGAGTTGTCCTCAAGCCTAAGTCACTTCTGTGAGATACAAGCCTTTCTTTGTGCCAGGTGTTATTACACCTGAAGGAAAGCCTGTGATTCCATCACAGCGTTCAGGCACTATTATTTAAACTTGTCACCGAGTTTTCTGTCTAGCAGCTGACCTTTGACACCACCAAATTTAAATGCTAGGGATTCTTTTTGGGAAGCAATTATTCTTTCTGCTACTCTTTTTAATTAGTTCTTGATTTTATTTTTATTTTTTTTTGATTTTCAAACAATTGCTAGAGCTGTCAGTGGGTTAAATACATCATGGCACATTGCTGAAGATTACAGGCAACGTTAAAGAAAAAAACCCTAATAGCAAAACCAACCACAGATTTGGCTGGAAGAATAATATTCAAAACTGTGACCAAATAGTAGAGCACAGAACATTGTGCTGATGGGCTACAGAGTGCTTGACCATTCATACAGTGTTTCCAAATGCATGAATAGCCAGTGATTCACATGCCCTTCACAATGCTACCCCACGTGAAGAATTGCTGCGATTAGTGCAGAAGTGCTCTGTGCTGGAGACTGGAGGAAATAGCTCAGATGTTAATGGGAAAATGTCTGAGAGTATACATTTTCTCCAGAATATGGTCCAAATTACTAAAAAAACAAGCTTTTTTTTTTTTTTTTTTTTTCCCAGATGAAGGCTGTTCATGGATTTAGTGAAAGGAACCTGTTTTGACGTCAGGGAAAGAACACATATTTGCATGTAGATTTTAAATACCTGTGTGGACTCAGCCTCTCTCTTTCGCTGTGCTGTGTTTCTTTCAGATATTCACCACATTGACAGCTGTCACTCTAACTGGTCTTAACTGATTAGACAAAAACCAGCAAGCCTTGAAAATGACTGGCCGCTAATTAGCTTGGGGCGATGCTGGAGGCAGGCTTGGTTCACCATTTGCTCTCAGCAAATCACATTCTCAGAGGATATTATTTTTTATGGGCTTCCAGAGCATGGATCAAAGTAGAAGCATGATCCTTTTGCAGAAAAAAAGACAAAATGTTCACGTTCAGAATTGGGAGTAACTTATCCTAATGACACGGAAACCTGGTCTTTGCTTGATTTTTTTGCTTTACATTTTCTCTTTGCAGGTTACTTAAAAAATATGCTGCCTTGTGTTTTTAGTATAATGGTGTGTATCACCAGGCTTGTTTTCCCTTCCAAATAAAATCTGTCAAAGAAACCTTGTCTTCAACTGCAAAACCACTGCAATAACATGCAATTTCTCTATAATCTTTATAAAGCTAAAAGGGGAATTTATTTCCAAGAGTGCATCCAGCGACATTCACTACAAATATGCTGGATGACAGCCACGGAAGTGTCTATTATCATCAATAAAATGCCTTTATCTGCTGCTTAGCTCTACTGGAAAAAAATAACTTTTGGGGTTATAAAGAGCTTTGCAGGCTTTAGTCTTCATTTTTTCTCTTAGGAATTACCACAGGAAGGAGAAGGCTAAAGTCTGTCAGCTTATGTCCAGAGTCAAAGAACAAAGTGGGAATTTGCAAAGCTTCACAAAATGCTGAAAAAAATTCACTGAAAAATGACCAGAAGGGAAAACTAGATTTCACTATTTCATTTCCTATTGATTAAGAATGCCTTAATCAATTAGTTAGTGCTGCAGTTTGTCTGTGAAACATTGCAAGGCAAAGGCTGTGTACTCTTTGAAAGTGGCAAGGATCCTGCTGGGACAACAGTGGTATTTCTGAATTTCAACTACAGAGAAACCCTGCTGAATGATAATCCTGCTCTGAAATGCAAAAGGCACAGACTACATACACCACACTGCCTAACCTTCAGCCTCACTCCCCGCGAAGAATGACCTGTTGGACTGTGCTTTTCCAGTGCCAAGTATGTATGAAAGTCTTTTCATCTCTTCTCAAAAGGCCATAAGAGGCTGTAAGTTCCCTGCTTGTTTCTTTTTTGTAAGTCAATTGTTTCAACTTAATGTGACTAACCATGTGTGTCCTACCGCATGTTCAAACAACAGCCTAAATGGAAGTTCGCTCTGCAGTCTTTATCATGGAATAATGCCAGTTAATTATTTTTTAAATAGGCAATTTAATGCTTTCAGCTTCTCCTGTGCAGGACATGTTCAGGTTCCTCTTGTATAATCTGTAGACATAAGTAGTCTACACAGTACTACTGTATAAAAAAGAATCAGAGGAAAGGTAAAAGAAGTGGTACACATACTGAAGTAAAACAACTACCTGATCTTAGCATGAACACAAGGAGTTTGCTACATAATGGGCAAACCATGATGCCTTCCAGTGTTTCCCATTTGTGTTTTGTCAAGCTGGATGCTGTACAGCCATACTCCGTGGCAAGAGCCGGAGCAAAGTGCAGGTGCTGGGGCTCCTGCTGCACAAGCACAGGGCACAGACACTGAAGGGCTGGCTGGGTACACGAGATGAGGAGCCAGGGTAAAGCTAAGAGAAGACACAGTCAGGAATTTGTGGCTTGTGTCATTTTTTATCATAATACTCAGGAACATTATACAAAAATTGGACTACCCTGATGTTTAGCATCACTTGCTAAACCTCTGGCCTTCTGTTCACTTTTGCTCATATTTTAGCTCCTGACACCACGAGGGCTGGTCTGACAGCTTGCTCTGCTTGAGGTACAAGAGACACGGAGGGACAAAAGTCGATTTCAGAATAGCTTGTTTGACTTATTTGACCACCTGTTATTATTTGCTCTTTCAGACAATGCCAAGCATCATACATATGTAAAAATGGACAATTAAATGGGTTCTAAGCCAAACACGTTTATCTTTAACACTCATTGCTTGTTCATTGGACTGTACAGTAATGGCTATTGCGTCTTCTTCCTCCCAGGTAACACCTTACACTTTTGCTTCAGAGAATATAGCATACAGGAAGTCGAGCACAAAGCATGCACAACTCTAAGGCACTTGGAATCATGTCCTTCTAAATGGGCACGTGTATCTGACAAAAAAACTCAACTGTATATTTCTGAGAAAATACACAAGTTCTTCAAGGCATGACTACACATTTTCTTTGTTTCCAAAGAGTCATGAACCCTTTCAGCCCTGAAATAAAGATGACATCAAATAAATTAATCTGATGTCCCATACAGTTCACTCCCAGGCATAATGCATAGCAGCCTTCTTAACTGTGGACCAGAAGATCAAGTTGATTTTCTTCTTTTTCATTTTATTTTCCTTTAACTTCAAGTCCACTCAAATAAGTTGAACCAATTTATATACTCCAATGTTTTTGATCCTATGAATCATGGACTGACAACAATTTAAAATAAAATAGTCTATTTTCAACTTGGAGATGTGCTAAAACAAGTACAATTTACAAAGATTGTGCTCCTTCCCTAGAATTTCAGTCATTTGGATTAAGGGTATGAAAGGAATAAAATAAAAAGCCCCTTGCTACTGATAGCTGAACAATACTACACATTACTTTAGGTACTTTTACCTCATGAAGATGCTTCTATGGGGAAATATGCCTCCCTACAAAATTTATACAGAAGCTGCAGTGGAATATTCCTGCTTTTTCACTAAACTCTGTGCAAAGAGCTTCATAGAGGCTTGCAGTCTTGACAGAGAAGGTATAAAGCTGCATCATAATTTTCTACGACTTCTCTCTTTGATAAAGGCTTAGAAATTTCCAAAATAACCACTGCACATTAAGGAAATTTGCCTGCTTATTTCTTAGGACTAAGGCACTGCAGGGATTATTTCTTCTGTGAGGAAAGCAGTTTTCCAGAATTAATTTGAATGTTGCAAATATTCCGCGGTAAGTAACTTTCTATTTTGCATCGCATTTGCAGTGGGGAAGAGAACAGCAATCCTTATCCCCACAAAGTAGAGGTTCTAAAGGGAGTTTTTTTGATACAACCTCTCATTAATCTGTTGAATTTACATTATGTTCACATTATTTTGAGAAGAAGTATTCCTCTCTGAGGGGAAAAAGAACCATAAAGATTTGACTGTATTAAAATGAGCAGTAAATCTAGTACTGAGCAATGACTCATAGGATTGGGAAAATAATCTTCTCATGTCAATCATTATTCATCTAAGTGTACACAAATTACTGATCTAAGTGGTTTTTGAAAGCATATTTAAACATTATAATATATTTAATGTATATGGCAATACACAACAAAAACTAAGGACAGGCAGAACTAGAGGGAAGGGTGCAAAATGAGTTCGTATACACATTTTGGACATCTGCTGTTTGATTAGTAATATAGGCTGAGATTTGGTTCAGAGAGAACAAGAAGTCTGGGCACGAAGCAGAAATGAAAATACTTAGTTCAGGATGCAAGACTGCTGTTTGAGATTTTCATCAAATGCTGGACTTGAATTCCAGATGAAGCCCAAACCAGTTCCAGTGAAACAGTAAATCCTACAATTGTAACTAGGAGATGCTTTCAGATGCCCCCTGGTAAAAGCAGTCAGTCAGGACAGCAATAAAACCAAGGATCTTGCCAGTAGGAGCAGTACTCATCTCAACTTTTAGACAAAAGTGACAATAAAAAGCCAGACCAGGCAGTCTGAGCTGTACCTTGCCGACGTCGACTGTTCAGCTTCCTAAAGCAGGTGCCCTCCACAAGTCGATTGAGACGCTGCTGCTTGATCAGTTCTAAGATCTCAGGCTGAATCTTCTCTTTCAGTTCCCTTGGGAAGGAAGGAAGAAAGCACTTATGAAATTCAATCAAAACCCACTCTCTTCTCTCTGAAACGAAGAGTCTCACAAGATGTTCATGTCCAAAAAGGAGACAACTCAGAAGCATGCCCAGATCAGAATTTAACCTGCTTCAGAATAAGACTGTTTTCTTATAAAAGGGCACGGGAGTCAGGCTATCTCTGTTCTAGACATCTCCCTGCTATAGCATCAGTGTATGACTCAGGGAACTTACTTGTTTCTTAGCTTACACAGCTAAAAATAACACTTGCTATAATGCACTGACAAGCTTTCTCTGCAGCAAATAATGCTCTTTCATCACAGGAACACAGTGAAGCTTATTTGAGGGTCTCTCACCTCTTCTTGTATGATGCTCTGCTAGTGTACTTTACTAGCATTATTATTTAGGACAACACAAGAAGGCTAAAACACACTTTGAATAAATAAAACAAACAAACAAAAAACAGTGAACAATGCTAATCAGGCAAAGCAACGACCAGCTCTGTATTCCTGGTATTGAGCTTATGCCATTCAACTAATTCATTACTGACAGAACTTGGTGGAAAAGTAACCCATGATGGGGACTGCTCAAGGATCAAACTTTACCTCTGCCCAGCAGTGCAAAAAACAGCAGTGCATTTAGAAGCATTATTATATACTCCTGAGAAAACCCATTTTCTACATTCTACTTTGATAAAAGCAATCAACGTGTCAAGAACAAAGTGTAAAATGTATGCATGTAATATTTAAAATTTGATTTCATATATCATCACATGGACTCAGAGATGTCTGAAGTAATCAGTTATATCCTCGCTAAGATTCATTAGGAATATATAAAAGACAGGTTGAAACATTAAGTTGACAGTAAGCTTAGTAAGATTTAAAAAATAACTAAACGTGTAGATGGCTTATAAAATATGAAGCATGTCAGAACCATAATTCCACATTGCTGTATGCATTAGGTAACACCAAAACTCATTCTGTGTGGCAGTATGTTCCAGTAATCATCGTCAAAAGAAAACAAAACCGTGCTATTCCATGGATAAAATAAAACTGTCCACTTGTTAAACACTTAGGGACTTCAGTGTCTGCTGATTTCCACATTCATGTGGCTCTGGCAACTTCGATGTGCCAACACCCCACTGAAACCACTGGAAATTCTTTTAGAGAGATGAAGGCTTTGAAACAGAAATGTCCTAATTCTCCCAGGTACTAACAAAATGGTTGGAGTACCTGATGCATATTTACATGCTGTGAAAATCTAGCTGGCCAAAAATCAAGTAAGCATTGTAACTATAGAAACAGGCCACCTCTCAGGAACATACAATTAGTCCTTCAGGATAATTTTCAGATGTTGTTTTCTTATTGGGAACTGAGGTAGGAATGTGCTGAATGGTTACATTCTGTGATTAGAAGAATTCTGTGACTGAACAGATGCCTTCCCTTTCTGAGCTGATGAGCTTCCCCACTCCTCAGGTAAGAGCTGGGAACAGGGGCAGAGAAAAGCAGTGCCAAACCTCAGGGCAATGACTGACAGTCCAAGGTATAGAATGCATACAGCTGGACTGACTCCAAGCATTCAAAATTGATATAAACATCTGTGTGATGTTTCAGTAGTCTAATTTAGAAAACAGATTACCATCATTAAAGACATGCTAAAGACAGCCTAACATTAGGTTTCTAAGACAGTATGGAAAAAAAATCCCAAAACTAATGGGTCATCTAGCACATTAGTACCTCACTAGTTACTCTCAGTATTTCCTCTTATGTCTTCTGAAGTCCCATCTTCCCTTTACAAAGTGGAGGAAGATTTTTAAGCAATTCAAAAACGAAGAAGCAATCCCCTCTATGGTACCTCAGTGTCTAAGATTTTCCGGATGAGAAAAGGAGACAGGGGAGCCTTCTGCCTCCTTGCTGATGTGCCAGAGCCCCTCTACACATGTGCATAATTTGCCTTCAGGACTGTGAAGCTCAGAGGTAGTACCTTCCTTAGTTTTACAGTCCCTGTGCTTCAGCACACAGAGGAACAAAGAGTTGAAGGAAGATCGTAAATGCAAATATATTTTTGGAAAAATTATTTATGCTCCTTTAGATGACATCAGCTGAACAGTCTGTGCCTTGTGAAGAGCAAGAACAAACTAGGAAAGCTGAAGGAGACAGTAGCTTTAAAAATTGCTGTTAGCTTCCTACTGTGTTCCTGTGATGTAAGAATGACAAAAGTCAGTGGGCTGACATGACAGAAGGGCTGATAGAACTACGGAGTAATATACGAGCGCTAATTTTCTGATCTCACTGGGCTCAGCACTATAGGCTGCTGACATCAGTTACATATTTTTAAAATAACAGACTTGGATTTTACGTATTTTTAAAATAGCAGACGTGGATTATCTGCAAATCTGAGCATTACTGAACTTTTTTTTTTTTTTTTTTAATTATACAGATGATTCCAGCTTTAATTCAGCACCAGTTCTACCTGCCCCTATCTTTTGCCTTTTCTGCTTATAACTAAGACTGTTTCTTATCAGCTGTTCTCCTTCCAGAATGGGGCATACTGTAGTCATTTAAATCATTAAAATGTAATGGAAGGCTAATCCCAGGACTGCTTTCATGGGTTTTGTCCTTTTATCTTTCTGGTGGGTAGCTATGTACTCTCCTAATCACTTCATGCATTCAAAGTAGGTATTACCAAATCCTCAACACTGCAGAGAAATCTGTCAAGATAAAAAGCCAAAAAGCATCCACTTGCCTTCTTCCCTCTATTTCCCAGTACGTGCTGATTTTTACTCAGATATTGCCTAGCAATGTCTCCGTAACTGACATGAACTCTCTCTTAACCATCAAGCCTCCAACATGGACATCACAATTTTATCCAGTATTGCCCCACCTCTGCTCATTTAATGCATCCAGAAGATCTCAGGACTCAGAACACATCCTCTGTCATAGCCATTCAAAATGAACCAGTAACATTTTACAGCCTTGTGGAATGGCTGTTTGGATGATCAGTAATGAACCCAAGCTCTTGCATGCATTCTGTTCTAAAGAATTTCATATTTTCCCTCATCTGAAGAAACTCTGGTGCACAATACAACAACACTCTTACAGATGAAACAATTACTTACAAAACAAGGTTGCTGTAGTTACATGGATCTAAGGCAACGCTTTCCAACTTACACTCAAGTCCAACTTAACTGAAACTTCTTTGATCTGGCAGCTTCAAAAACTCAAACCACCAGAACTTATACAAAGAACAGCAAAAGAAAGATTTCTGTCATGTTAAAGGCAGGAAAAACCATCATCCGACTGCCATATGCTCACACAGAATTAAACAAGGCCCACTGACTTTACATTCAGCTGTGCACAATCTCTTTTAGCATATCTGTAAAGCTTTAAAATATACAGTAGAGCCACGATTGCTCTCTTCACTCACAGTCTCTCCCTACAATGGGACCATGATTCTGTACTTCTATCAACTGTGCCATCTATGCAATTTGAGAGAGTTCAGTATATAGAATCAAATCAAAGGGGAAAATGAAAGAACCATTTCTTTTCACTGTCAAGAATGGGCGATCGTGGATGCAATCGAAATGCAAATTCATGGAGTCAAATCTCTGCAAATGCAGTTGTGGTTGCTGAAATACCTTATCAATTCACTCAGCCTTTACAGCCTTTAGGCTTAGCCTTTGTCCTGAATCTGAAATGAGTCTGGTAGCATTTTAGTTTCCTTTAACTACCTGTGTTAACTGTTTCCTTCATGTCACCAGGGGGAAGGAAATTCCAAACCAGGGCAGCAACTAGCCAGAGCCATGCTGGACATAAAGAGCTTGCAGAGGGCAACTGGCCAGTTTCATGAGGCTATGCAAGGCTGCAAGAGAATACAGATAGTTGACCTGTACCATAGCTGAACAGTTGACTCACAGCAGAAGCAAGCAAAATGAGCAGCTTTGGTGACAAGCTTAGCAGTACTGAACAGCTCTGATCCACTGCAGAGGATCAGAGGATTTTGGCAGGGGATTTTGAGCAGTGTAATGATGCAAAAGTGACTGCAACCATTTGTAACTGTTTAATTGATGCATTGAGTGACATCAGTTCTAATTGGGCATTAGGTCCTATCTTCTAAAACACTGAAAAGAAGCATTTCCCCTTTGATCCACAATAGTATGATTAAAGGGCAGTTCTATTTAGCTTATGCTTCCTCTGTTGCCCTGCTGCCCCTGGATAAAGACATCCCCAGAGCTCATACTTAGATGTATCTATACCCTTCAGAAACAAATCAAAACGAGCATTTAACATCAGAATTCTGAAACATCCTGTTCAAATCCTTCCCTACAGCTTTGCTTTGTGATGGAGATCTGGAAAATTACAAGCCAATATGCTTCAAACATAGTCAAGATTTCATGACATTTCTACTGACATTTCTGGAATCCTCACTATTTCTCCTCTGATCTCAAAAGGTTCCTGCCATCCCTTTATGTTTGCACCATGGAGTCTGAGATTGTCCTGTGCCATTATTAGCTCAGGCCTGGTCCAAAGCCAAGCATGGCCTACATTTCTCACCTAACAGAACAAAGGGCATTCTGAGCAGCAGGCAGGAGCTGTGATGGTGATTAGCATTTGATTCTTTGCAGTAAACAACATGGAAATGAGAATCCCATTGTCATGCTACCACAGTGTTATCATTTACAAATAAATAATAGCTTTTCATTAACACCAAAGATAATGCCCTGAAGAAAGATAGTAATACACAATCCCACTCTTTTCTGGAGCCACTATGTATTGACTCCTCTTATTCTGAACATCTTGTCTGGCTCAGAGAAGTAGCAATTGCAATTTTTATCCCTTGGACAGAAGACGAAGTTTAAAAACAAACAAACAAACAAACAAAAAAGCCAAAACTGACAACAAAAACAGGTTTATATGCACAAGTATACAAAGACAGGAAAATGTCATAAGCACTGTTTCACACAAATGAGCCATGCGAGACCCTGTAGGAATTTGGTGAATCTGATTTAACTGAATTCAATGAAAAAGTTGAGATTCCCAGCAGAAGAAATCAAACACACTTCAAGCAGATGCTGTACTTTCTGAGCACAGCTCCCTGGACAGCCTACTTCCTCAGGTTCCCCCTGAAGAGCTCATAAATGTCAATCGCATTTGTTAATCCTCTGATGCAAACATGGGTTAGGAGAGAAGACAGTACTTACAGAATTGGACGAGATTGGAAATCTTCCTGGTTCATTCTTTCAGACTGGCGTATTTTCAGTATTTCTGTGTAACTGAGATTCTGAAGCTTACTCTTGAACTGATCCAGTGAGCTAGGCTTGGTAGTGAGTGCTCTCATTATCTGTTCTTTCACTACCTGCATAACCTGTGGTTGACAAGAAAAGGAAAAGAAAACACACATTAACATCTTCTGTGTTTTTGTTTCAAATCCTGTTCAGTATCACAGCAAGGTTTCTAGTTTGCATTGGGTTCTTGGACATCAAAGCAGAGATTCCCCAGTAGTCTACAAACCCCATTCCCAATTTTCCTGTGCTGCTTGGGGAAAGGAGGAAGTAGAGGAATTAAGATCAACGTTAAGTCTTGGAGGAGGTCCCTGGAGCCAGTATGTAGGTGCAGGAAGCTGGTTAGTGCTGTCAGGTTCTCAAGTCAACTGCTCAATAGCATAACCAGACAAGGATTCAACATCTGGCAGGACAATGCAGCTTCCAGAAAAAGCTCTTCTGCTCTGTAATGAGAAAACTATTGTTTCAGGGGGCCAGAGGGGAGAGGGTCAATCACCATTTGGCTTTCTCCCTGAACAGTGGAGCTACAGCCTCTGGTTACAGGATTGTAAATCCTGCTCTTTCTGCAGGTCTTGCTCTTGTCAGCAAGAACATGGCTCTTCTGGGCTAATGCTCATGTCATGATGGGGACAGGCACACATACACGTGCACAACACACTTCTTAGCAGCATGACAAAGCTGTGACGTCCTATGGAGCCAAGAGTGCAGATGCACATCCTGACTTCTGCTAGCTCGACACGGGTGACGTGTACAAGCTGCAGGGTCTAGCTGCCCATTGGACACACTGCAGAGAGATTTTCAGGCCTCGTGACTACCCTGCTGAGCCTCAAAGCTGCTCTTCTGACCATGTGTTAAGCCACTGACTGTGTCCTGTTGCTTCCCTCAGTGCTGTCATAGTGAGAGAAGGGACAGTCTGGCCATATGGCTGTTCTTGTGAACATTATTATTTGTTAAGTTCATCCTGTCCCCTCGCTCCCTTCTGCCTTGCAGCTATTTTGTTTCAATACTCAGCATGTTCAACATGAATGAATCTCTATGGTTTCTCAAATGGACAGAGACTGGTATGTCCATTTCAGGGCTCATCAGTATGAGAGAAAGATGGAAGGAGTCCAACAAGATGATAAAGATGACCAAGAAGCAATAAAGAAACTGGAAAATGTCATGTCTCTCTTACATGGTCCTTGGCACCCTGCTCTGGGAGTCTTGACTTGAGCAGAGATTAGACCAGGTGAATCCAGTGGTCCCTTCTCATCTCAACCCTTTGGTGATCCTGCAAAAGCTCCACACTGCAGGCACTTTATGATCATATACAGTGAAGGTAGGGGAACTTGCTAACAGAAAACATTAGTCAGAATGAAGACACCAACTTGCCCCAGATATTAAAGGATTGCTTTTGAAGCAATGTCATAAACAATGCAAACCAACAACAAGAATGAAGGATGGGTGGGCAACAGCCACCAATCTGAATATTAATTATTTTATCAGAGAAAACTGCTGAGACACAGTTAACTAAGGGGAATTGCTTGGCTTTATTTCAAGTGGTTTCACATGATAGATTACTGTGTTTCTTTCCAAATTCTGGACTCATTTCCTTTCCCCAGTTCTGGTGCAAATCGCACATCTTGAAACATCTGATGCTGCGCTGAAGCTGGCTGAAAGAAGAATGCCACTTTTAGAAAGGCCCATCCCACCCAAATCCAACAGCTAGAAAGCAGTAGGAAGCAGTAACCACCCCGATGGAATCAAGGCAGATGTGACCAAAATTAACTGCTATACAGAGGCCAAAAGCTTTTTCTGCACTGTTTGTTTCATTTTCTTCTTTCATCTTCACCTTGTATCTTAAAACAGAAGCTCAGCCCCTCAGAGGTTCCCTATTCATTCTGAAAATTTACCTTTACATATGAATATTTCATTGCTTCACATGTGCTGCCTCAATCTTCTCTCATTGCCTGCACTATGTTTTCTATTTTTACTTCCTGAGATGTCACTTCCTTCCTAGATGTACTCCATAAACTGTGTCCAACAGCTGAAAGTAAGCAGTTAATAAATGGAAGACAGTCTCCTACAGGGACTACATCCATCCTAGATATGTCCTCTAAGAGCAACATCTTTCTTACAAAGCTGTTTGCCCAGCTGGACAACAAATGCCACTGCCACATTTCCATGCACCCTTGCACGATCTTACTCTTGGTAAACCTTGGAAATCTGGCCCAGATAAAGAAGAGCTCCAGTCCATTCACTCCTAAAAATTGAACAGACTGCTGTGTGCCCAAGCAAGTCTTCTGAAACTTAGTTTGAAGATAGAAAGAAACCTTGAGTTCTCTATAGCTATACAGTGTGTCTTTTACATAGAGAACCATCTGTTCTCAGATGGTGGCCACATGGCCACATTCAGCCAAATATTTCACAGCACTTTATTAGCTGAGAATCAGCTACTTTCCCAGCTGAAGGGAGAACTCCTCTTGCTTAGTAAAGCCTACATAATGGTTACATTTAGTCTCACCACATCACACCAACTCAAGTGTGATAAACATCCTGTCACACTTTGGAAACCACAATCCTAACACCTGAATGATAATACTGCCAACGAGATGTGTGGCATGCTCTTATTGATTTCTCTTGGTCTTGTTTTAATACCTGAAATGGCTTAGGAAAGGCAATGGATGAAGCTTTGCTAAAGGAAAAATGGAAAAGAAGCTGACAAGCCCAGCAATGAGTTGGATGTCTAAAGTTATCTTCTCCTCTTTCATCTGCTTTCTTCGCAATGACTACTAATTGCTGCCAGTTAATATATCTTATAAAGTTTACCATTAATTACAGTTAATTATTATTAACAGCTATACCGGCTGCTAAACCACTAAACTAGAGTTGCAAGCAAACATAGTCCTTCAAACACAACCATGGGTGCTCTCATTCATGCGTGGTTGCAAAATCCTACATAAGCCCTTGCTTCCCTTCCCTGGTACTCAGTGTTGTGGTTAACATACAAATAATTCCTCTTCTTTGCTCTAATCTAAAAAGTTGTTGATGGAATATCATCAAATAGCTCCTTGGTTTATGGGCTGCCCTTGTTCCCAACACAGAAGGCAAGAAGCATGCACTCTGGGCCCAGTATGTAAGGGGTGATCAATTGCCTTGTAATGTTTATAGCAAATAATATTTAATTTGATGTCCACAATGTCAAAGCTGTCGGTAGCAGTGAGTCTCCTGAGCATTTGAGAACCACTGCCAAGATCTTCTAATCTGTTCAAAATTTCTAAAGCTGAGCTGCCAGCCATTGATTACTGCTAAGAGACAGCAGTAATCCTCCTCGTGTATCCGACCTTACAACGAAATTAAAAGTATGCTCTACTCAATATAACTGTACATAAACACTGCAGATAGTTGTTTTAATTGCATTACAATTTGCTTCTCCTACTGAGAGAGGTGTGCTTTAGAGGGTGCATTTTGTATCTGATGACCTTTCGTACGGTAAGAGGATCCCAAGTTCTGCATTATGTCAAGGACAGGTAAATTCCCAGCCTTTTATTTAACTAATCTGCCTTACAATTCTATGGTTCATACCCATAAACTTAAATTATACATCTTTTTGTTAAGCTGTTTTTGTATATCTCTATATTTTGCATATTTGACCTAATCAAATATCATATCCTGATTATTTTGCCTCTCCCACGCTTCCTCCTCACTCCTGTTTCTTGTCACAAGAACTTTTATCTAAGCAAATAAAGCCTGTGCCTTCCAGGATTGAGCACAGATCTGAATATTTAGGCTTTAAGAGGACAAAATAAAAAGAGTGAGAAGGCATCAATGTCAGGAAGAGGAATTTATCTGAAGCCAAGATGCATCTATATAGCAACATCCCACTGACCATTAACTTCAGCAGCTTGTCTCCAACTCTGAGCAACACAAAATGGACCCCTCTGTATATCCTTTGTTGCCATTCTGATGCAAACTTTGTATTTGGCATGACTGGAGGAGAGTGGCTGTCACCCGTGACATCCAACCATTATCTGCAAGCTTCTGGAAATGTTAAATCTGAGCCTTTTGCTCAACAAAACCCCTCTTTGTACAAACTTTTAGCCTCAATCTTCTCAGAAATTACCCCCAGGATATCCCATAAGGCTGGAGATTCACCACAACTCATCCACAGAGCCACGGACAAGACGTAAACCCCTCCCATTACTTCCCCACAGCTGTTTCTCTTTAATAAGATACCTTTTCACATGGAACATCCCTCTCACAGCTCACAGCTAGAACAGATGCCAAGAGTTCTACAGAAGTCAGGTATAAGCCATGGATCCACGTAACGATAATGTGCTTGGTTGAGTGCTTTCCTAATTTGGCTCAGTATTAACAAGTTCTACAAGGGACGATTCCCATCTCTTTGCAGCATGTGATAAAAGATGACCCACAGGACTGAACTACATCCAGAGATCCCCCTCTACAACCAGACTTGCAGAATCTGAGAAGTAAGACATTTTAAGGCTGCTTTCATTGGCTTTTCCAAACGACTACACAAAAAAATCAACAAGCCAGTGAATAGAAAAGTGGAGAAATGACATCTCTTTTCAAGCTGTACGCCAAGAATTCATACGTAGTTTCCCTCCTATCTAAGCATTCCTGGGGAGAAGCAGCATGGTTTATGCAATGTTAAAAAAAAAAAAATAAATAAAACCAAAATAAAATAAAATAAACAAAACATCATATATTTACTAAGATCCAGCTTAATAATTTCAGGCACAAAGGAGATTTCCCTCAGTAAAACTCACAGAGTAGGCAAAAAAAATAAGGCTGCAGGATGAAACAACCAAATCATTCTTAATGAACGGCGCTCAATGACAAAGGAGGCCATAAAAAAAAAAATAATTTTGAAGGGAAAGAAAATGACTTCAGTTTAAGCAACCTGTCAACCACTTTAATGAAAACGTTACATGTTTAAAGGTTGCACCAGGTAATTCAAGACAATTTTTTAGGTTATTTCAATGGATGAATTGTCTTAAGTAGATCAATGGTTATATTTTCAGAGTACTCAGAAGAGTCATCCTGAGAGACTTAGAAGTCCTTGAGAGAAAATTTAATGCTG